ATTAGTTTTATATCAATTTTCACATTTATGGACTAGTTATTAATAATCAATATATATGACATCACAAAATACTCGGTGCTGCTAAAAAGGAAAAACGTAGTAAAATTATTTAATTCACAGCCAATAGATTTGATGACACCTAAACTTAAAGAATCAATAACCGTCAGCTATCGTGAATCCAAACTCACATCTCTTTATTTTGAGGCCATATCGTCAAGTATTTAACTAATCACGCACCCTTCAAAAGTCCTTATATATAATGACTCCGACAAAAGTTGAGTGCTTTCTTAGCTGGAAGAATCTCCAGTCAACATAGAATGATAATAATACTAATAGAAGCATGCAATTTAAAGTCTTCTGTCCAGGACTCTTTCCTATCCCCTCTTAGAAAAAATTAAAGAAAAACAAGTTTTTGTGTAAGTTAGCTTAATTGCGACACACCTTATTTTTTAAACAAAACATTTTTTAAATACATTGATCACATATATATTTTCATTTATATCGTTTTTTAACGTATCATTTTATATATATTATACTTTTATTTATGTTGTGTTATAATATATATCGTAAGCATATTTGTTAAAAATCAAATTATTTGATTAACGCGCTAGGGTAGCAGCACTATCCCTCTTTAAATTAGTTTATTTTTATATTTGTTTAAGTTGTTGTGGGCCAGGGTGTTATTAATTAACATTAATCTTTTGGTGTAATACACCATTAATTTTAAAGAAAGACAAGTTAGGGTGATTAAGGTGTCGAGAACATGCAATGCACCGAAAAGGTGCACATTAATCATGATCAAATTAGCTGGTACTGCTCTTTTTTCGTATATTCTGTATATATTTACCTTTGTGAACACAAATACAAATCTATTGGACCTTCAGTGAGTTCAAATTACTAAAAAAAAAAAATATCAATGTTTCAACGTATATTGGATTAATCTTTATTCAAACTTAAGAGTAATCTGCATTATTGTGGAAGCTCATCGCTCATCATAAAAGCTGCATATATATATATATATATATATATATTTATATATATATATTTTTATATATATATATATATATATACATACATGACATGCAAAAATTAAATCTACAGTTACACCGAAAATTGATAAGCAACTTTCAATAAGCTTAAGAAACATAAAAAAAGCTCATATTAGGCAGCATGTGACTCGTCTAGCTTCAGTTGGTAGAAACAAAAGAAATCAAAGACAAAAAACAAGTAAAACTGAAGATAAATTAATACATGCCACCCTAATTAAGCAGTATATATGTCAGTTAGTTTAAAACAAATCCAAACACCTTGCTAAACATCTAAACCAACCAACACACCAAGAAAGCTAAAAAGATAAAATATATAAAAAAACAAAAAAAAGAAACAAAAAAAAAAAGGAAAATGAAAGAAAGATTTAAATCTCTTGTTGTCCTTACTCAATTCTTGTTTTAATTCCATCACCAAGACCCTCCTCCACCTAACATCCCATTCCAAAACCCATTACAATTATTATTCTCATTCGATCCCTTCTCTTGATCAGCTTCACTCGTGCTCGATTCTCGTTTAGTCTCTCCCAAGTTGAACATTAGTGTCTCCTCAACCGGCGGTTTCGAGCTCGCGTATCCACTCGGCCCACTAACGATCCCATCCACAGAAAAGGGTTTGCATTCTTGAAACATAAAGCCCGGCCCAAAAAGCCCATTATTATTATTATTATTATTATTACTATTATTAGGGAAAAACGAGTTCATCATATTATTCCCACTCCTCACGAAGCTTAGCTGGGCGGACGGTGGCGAAATGACGTCTTTGCCCTCGACCTTAGGATAGTCGAGGAAGTTAGGCGGCAAGGCCGCATGGGCATAGTCATGATGATGAAAGCCGAGATTTAGGTCTCGAGCTTGGTCGGGGATTTTAGGGTTTTGTTGATGGTGAGTAATGGGGAAATGGGGAATTGTGGGTGGGTTGAGGTCGAACTTTTGTGACGAAAAGGGCATTTGATGATCGGACGAGTTTGGGATGGTTTTTTTGTGCTTTCTCGAGCCGCCGCCGACAGGAACGTTTCTTAGGGTTCCGCCTTCGGTCCAATACCTTCGGCAAGTCTTGCACAAGTATCGAGGCTGAGTGAGGCTGTAGTTGTTGTAGTAGCAGAATTTGGTGTTGGTTGAGTGGCAACGAGGGCAGTTTGGGGATTGCTCCTTTTGGGGGGGTCTCATGCCGCCTTTTTTCTCCATTAATGTTGTTGGCCTTGTTACTTCTCCCATTGATTTTGTCATCCCAAATTCCTGAAAAAATATGTGGAAATTGATTAGTCATAGAAAAAAAATGTGAAAAATATGTTACTTCTTTTGATTAAAATTTAAAAACCTAAATGAGAAGATGGAAGGAGACAAAAGGACAATGTGGCTCAGAAAAAGAAAAGGAAAAAGAACAAGAAAGTTAAAAAATAAAAATAAAAAAAATAAAAAATAAAAGAAGAAGAAGAAAGAATTTAATTACTGATCTACTTTAATCATCACTTGATCCAAGAGTGCAAAAATATAAGATAAAATATGAAGGTAAATAAGAAAAGAAAAGAAAAGAAAAAAAGAAAGTGTAATCTGCACAATCCCTAGAAAAAACCCAAGTATACCTACTCCAAGCACATCAACCCCGTAATATATAATTCTATGATAGTCATAAAAGACTCAAATGATCAAAGAGAAAAGATTAAAACAAGAAAAGCCTACATATATATGGATAAGACTCTTCACCTGAGTCCATTGAGAACTATCCATGAATATCTTCTTGAGAAGGCAAAAACAAAAGGTTGTTAGAAAGGCAAAGTGATGGACAAAATTCACCTCCTTTTATCTGAAACTTTCTTTGATGCAAAAGAATGTTTTCTTTCGAGTTGCTAATGTTCTGTTTGCTTTTCTTGAGTTGGCTAACTTTTATGGAAGAAAAAAGGGATTTAAAAAAGGCAAAGGGAATTGTTTGTTTTGACTGCTCTCCCTATATATTTTTTTTTATTTTTATTTTCAGTAGGCCTTTATTTAATTTAATTTAATTTCATGATGGGGACTTTTGTCTGAATGCATTCATTATGTTCCACTATTTTTCTTAAAATTCTAAATTATTTCAGGATTAGTGCTATTGTGAAATTTATCTTATTTATTATATTATTTTGTGGTGGGTCTCTCTACTTTTTTGACTCTTCGAATGGAAGAGAATTTCTTCGCAGTTGATGTTTCCTTCTCCATTCCCCACTAATCCAATTGCAATTTTATCAATTTATTACGATTATTTTTCGATTATGGAGTTGGTCAATTGGTTCTTTATTAAATTAAAAATTACTACAAGATGAAAATCTTTGTGGACATAAGAGAAAATGTAGATTAGTTGATATATATAATTTTATTTGTTCAAATTTTCAAATAACACATTAAGTTAGATCACTTTTGGAACAATATACGTAGAAATAACAATAACCATAATATTTTAACTCAATTAGAGTTTGTTTACGCATTCAATTTTCCTGAAATTCTACGCTTATTTCCGCCCATTTTTCTCTGTCTAGTGCAATTTTCGGCTTCTTTCAGATCCCATTTTGGTCGGGTAACCTATGGTTAAACTTGTTGTTATCGATTCGATTGTACCCATAAAATTTAAGACCAATCGAAGTTCGTTTAACCGTACATGTTTTCGTAAATCATTTATACGCATTTTTTATTTTCGTTTGTTGTTTGGCGGAGTTCCGAAGTCATTCGGCTTTCAGTTTGATTGATTGTAATACATTATGATACGGCTTCAAATTATGACCTATTTCAACAATAATTGTAGCTTAATTCAGTTTTATGATGAGTATTTATTGAAAAAAAAATTGTGACTTGTACATTTTTTTTGTTAATGTAATAAAATACGCATCAAAACAAAAAGAAAAAAAAAAAAGATAAATATTTATTTTGGTAGTCTTTGGTGATACAACCATATTTCTTACAAAAATTGTTGCCTAGAGGCTAGAAAGTTATACTATTTTTTTTTTTTTCTTAATTTTTGCCCTCCCTCCAGAATTTTTCTTGGTTTCACCCCTTCTTTTAGCTATTGAGTTTTTCAATAAAAGTTTAATTTGTTTTTAAACTTTTTACGTATTTGTTTGATGAGCTTTAAAACTAGTCCTATTCACATTCAATACTTTGATTTTATTTGTATGGTTATCGACTAGAGTACTCAAGTTGTCACATGAAACCAAAGTCAAAATGTATAGATTTTTCTTACATTTTGATCTTTTCAATCTCATCTTATTATGCAACATCCCAATAGAAAAGATTATTTAATTATTTATAATTTTAACAAAAACGGTATGCAGAATTGGTTAAGAAAATATAAACTGATTAGTCAAATTTTATGAACATTTTTTTCTTCCTACAATCATGCCAAATCAAATGTGGATCCAACTAAACAAATTGATTAAGAAGTATAATATCATTCGTTAATATGAGTAGGATTGTTGATATATAACCAAATCCACCGTTCAATGTTCATCATTGGACCGATCCAAAATTGGTCCAAAAACTTCTAAAATGTAGTTAAATTAGTCCAATTCCGGTCTCCGTCGCCGGAATCCGATTGGAATGTGCTGAGTTGGCAATTCGGATTCCGGCGATGGGGACCGGAATTGGACTAATTTAACTACATTTTGGAAGTTTTTGGACCAATTTTGGATCGGCCCAAGTTACTGGACTAAAGTGGGAAACAGCCTAAGTTACTGGACTAAAATTGCAATTTTCTCGTATATCATACCGTATAAGTATGTATGTTCACAAAAGTACTATAGTCAAAACCATATGTGATTATATATATATATTTGTATTTCCATAATAATATTCATTTAATGTCAAGAATGTTTAGATAATTAATATGTAAACCCAATTTTATTAGAGCACCAATATATTGAATTTACACATTCGATTCGCCTTTATAATACTATATAACTCTCTAGTAAAACCATAGAAATTAAGCTTTCTATTAGAAAGAAGAAAAAAAAAAAACTAATTAAATGGAGGAGCAATAGGAGATGATTTGGCGGTATGCCATAATTTCAACTTTTGAAAATTTGGGGGAGCAAAAATTAAAATAAAACATTGATCTTTATGCTTTAGTGATGGACCGTTTTTCTTTTTGAGCTTCTAAAGCGCTAATGTGTTTGCATGTTCGACACCATAATCATCACAATGTATCCTTTTTTTCTTTAGAGGGAAAAGACTAAACGATAAAATGTTATAATTACATGCATGAAGTTTCTTTTCCCCACCTCCATTTTGACGAGTTCCCAAGAAAAATTAGACTAATTAAGTAACAAGAGAAATTTTTAAAATATGAATCCCTTTCCAAGTGCCTTTTCAGATTTCACTTTTTCCTATTAATTCCTAAAGAATTTCACAAACATCCTTCAACTACTTGTGGATGAGGTCAAGCAAGAGGAGATTGCTTACCAACCAAAGCATTATTCTCAATATATCTATCTTGAATATTGCTTTTGAGTTTGGCATAATGTTTGCGATTTTCCAAACTAATTTGTGATTTGTTTTGGTATTATGATAATATTGTTGTACATAAAAGAAAAGCTTACGAGAATCCTTGTTGTTTCCGATTTCCAAAATGGCATCAGTTTAATTTTAAGAGGTGATAACAATATATCGAAGAAAAAAATAACGAAGCAACTTGATGATCACGCTACCAAACTTCTCATTTCTATAACGATTAGGGTTAAAACAGAAATGAAGAACACGAAGAACGGATTGGTCAATATAATTAATGAAGAACATGAAAGCTCATATCGATTGGTTATTCACCTTCAACTCTGGTTGTGAACAATTGATCGTGTGTGTATGTGCGCGCGTGCAGGTTCATATATAGCTAGATTGAACAAACATTGAAGAAGAATTCTTCGTTGTGATTGAAGATAATCGCCCAGTGAATAATTATCGACAACGAAGATGTTGTTTTGGGTTTAAATGTGTTAGGTAAATATATATGCAATTTATGAAAAGATGGTGGTTTAATTGAAATATGTAATTATGTTTAGGGTCAATGTTAAAGAAAATAATACTTAAAGACCTTTTATGGTTTAATTGGACTAGGTAATTAATTTTGAGAAACTCAAAATTATGTATACTATTTTTATCTAATAAATACATAAAAATAAATCATTTACATATAAAGTTTAACCTTAAAATGTCGTATTTTCGTATTTTGTCATAAAATATACGCATGTTTTTAAAAATAAATATAAATATAAATTGACTGGTAAAATCATGTGAGCCGGCTGGATAAAGACTAGGCCGATTGGGTGATTCTGGATTTGACTGTTCTGAAGCACACAGATAGGGACAATTTTTGGGTTAGAAAACACTCGAAATCAAGTTATTTTTTATATATGCTTCAGTTTAGAACTTCGGGAAATATTACAATTCCGTTGCGGAACCATTCCATCGGGATTTATAACCGTTAGATCATCATGTAACCGTCGTGGATAGTCAGTGACGGAGCTAGGATTTTTCACTCAGTGGGGCCCAATTTTAAATGTTAAATAACGAGTTTGTAGTTTACGTAGAAACACTCATTTCATATAAAATTGTGTTTACTTATGAATATAGATATTGATACGTGTATCATCAAGTTTTTCAAAAATTTAAAATCTGTATCACCCTCAAACTTTTTTTATGAAAAAAATGAGATTACGTTTATTTATAATTTAAATTTAAGATCTATAATCTATGGAAAAAAAAAATTTGTTCAAAATTTGATTTATATTGAAATTTTGCAACACATTGCTTAGCATTTTTTTTGTTGATGAGAGCTTATCAAATGACTATTTTATTGATAAAAAAATAAATAAAGTTGAAAATATGTGATTCCATAAAATAAAAATAAAGTAAAAAAATCAACATTCAAATATACAATCGATCAACATTCAACAATGAAAAATATAACTAAATTCTAGGTTTTATAAATCGTTAAATTGATTTACAATTAAGAGGCCGAAAGAGTAAATTATTACATATTTTCAAAAATTTATCCAAAAATATAAAATATAAAGATTGTTAGTATACTTTTCAATAAATAAATAATATTATTACTTTAAATTAAAATAACATTTAAAATAAATTTAAATTATTTATATATTCTACATTTTTTATATTATTATTCATATTTTAAAGTAATTTTTTTTATTTATGTATATATAGTGCTTTTTAAAAAAAAAATTGAGAGGGGCCCACGGGCACCCCTGGACCTCATGTAGGTCCGTCTCTATAGATAATTGATCTAACGGTTACTAATTCCAAAAGAATAATTATGTAACGGAACTGTAGAATCTCTATAGAACTTCACTATTTTCTGGTTATTTATTTAAATTATTCTAAGTTCGTGTAGTTATCCTTGTCTCCAATATCGCAGTGATGTCTACCAAACTTAATTCCAATTCTAGTCACGGTGGACAATGTAGACCTCTTAACTTAA